TTTTTAATCTGTAGCTCTGCTCTAAAAGAACGTACGTACCTGGACCCGCCTACTATCCTCGGAAACGTAAAATGATTGGCTAGAATCTAAAGTGTATGACAGCTCAGGAAATAAAGCACCGAAATGTGCGCTGCTTTTCGGTCTGGTTACTACCGTTTATGTCAGAACCGATATAGGTACCCATCCCTAGTTTTGACCGATGCATGAAACGATATTATTAGATACAAGTTGTAACGGCCGCTGTTTTCTTTGTATTTATTACATGGCGTGCTGCGGGGGAAAGCGTTTGAGTCTAAGGTTTATTTTGAGCACCTGACGGCTCTTTTTTTATTGCTTCTCAACTCTCTCCATCCTCTTTCACGGGATTCTTGCAGAGGTAGAAGAGGCTTGTTGTGTTTGAGGCTGAGGTGGACCAGTTTGCAGCATAGTACAGTTTTCTGGTCCGTGTCAGAGTTTTTATAACCATGTCCGTGCTACAGGAATAAGATCCTTGATTTGTTTTGACTGGTCTTTGTGTTTGGAGCCAGTTGTTTCTGCCTCCTCCTCACTGGCCATGCTGGGAGTCTCTGTGCCCCGATGAACAAATATTGCTGTAAACAGTGTGTTTTGCAACACCATGAAACAAACAATAGCGTATAATTTGAAACGACAGTTTTCATATCGTCATCTGATATATTTCGTCATATTGCACGGCCCTATTCAGAAGTGCTAAACTCATTTTACCTTTTTGTTCATAGTGGGTCAGTTGACTGAACTAGTATATTTAAACTGAGCTGGACTAACTGGAAACCAGTGTGCTAATGGTTCTGATGATTAATGGTTGAGTCTCTTTTCCTGTGACACGGTGATGCAGGGGAAGTACTTCTACCTCACACCAGGCATCTGTCCGAGCCTCAGCACGATGAAGTCCATTCTGGAGAGCGCTGGAGGGAAGCTGCTGACCAAGCAGCCCTCGTACAGAAAGATCATGGAGCACAATCAGAACAAGGTGCTGAAAGTTGCTGCAACTCTTTCATGTCCACAGAGGTGGTGGGTTCCTGTGTGACGATATGGCAGAAACCTGGGAGGAGTTTAGCTTTTATTTTCATGTATTTTCATTTCAGTACAAAATAAAACAAACATATGTTTGACAGAAGTCTTTTATTACAGTTTTCTCTGTAAATCAGTAACCACATGTTGGCATTTGGTTGCAGAACCTTCCGGAGATCATATTAATCTCCTGTGACAATGACCTTCACCTCTGTAGGGAATACTTCCTGAAAAACATTGGTAAGATGCTCTCCAGGGCCCATTTGTATTTATCCTGATATTATTTTATTTACAGAGTATCTTCATAAAGTTGACTTTGTGTTTCACTCTTGTGCTCTCTCTGTTTTCCAGATGTCCACAATGCTGAGTTCATTCTGACTGGAGTTCTCACCCAGAAACTTGACTATGAATCATATCCTTTACAGTCTCACAGT